GAGTTGGAGGTTGCTGTGAGCTGTGATGCCATGGCACTCTGCCCAGGGGGACAGCTTGAGGCTCTGTCTCAAAAAAAAAAAAAAAAAAAAAAAAACCACTGAACTGGAAAATCTAAGATCCACCCAGTGCCCTGATGGGCCAAGATTCTAAATTCTAAAGTCAAAGAGAAATTATTTTCGATTATGTGGCACATAGGGTGTTTCCAGATATGGAAATAATCTAGAATGCCCTGCAACCCCTGGCATTAGGGGTCTTTCGTCACATTTTATTAGTACTTTACCCTTGAGAAGTCATCCCCAGTAGGGGAGGGGAAACTGTGGCCTCAGGGCCACATGTGACCTTCTGGATCCTTGAGTGTGCCTTTTGATTGAATCCAAATTTTACAGAACAAATCCTTTTATTAAAAGGGGTGCAGCAGAGAAAAATGAAGCTTTTCTTGCCTCCTTTGATGCTTAAAAAAGAACAATCTTGAGGGCGGTGCCTGTGGCTCAAAGGAGTAGGGCACTGGCCCCATATACCAGAGGTGGTGGGTTCAAACCTGGCCCTGGCCAAAAACTGCAAAAAAAAAAAAAGAACAATCTTGAAATCAGAAGGCCAAAGGCTAGTTGGGAGTAGTGGTGCACACATGTAATACTAGCACTCTGAGAGGCCAAGGCAGAGGTATGCTTCAGCTCAGGAGTACAAGACCAGCCTGAGCAAGAGCAAGACCCTGTCTCTGCAAAAAATTAGCTGGATGTTCTGGGACACTTCTGCAGTCCCAGCTACTGGGGAGGCTGAGGCCGGAGGATAGCTTGAGTTTGCAGTGAGCTATGATGATGCCATTGCATTCTAGCCAGGGAAATGGAACAAGACTCTGTCTCAAATAAAAAAAAAAAAAAAGGCCACAGGTTCCCCAACCCTTGCAAGGGCTGATTCCCAAATCATAGCCAAGGTTGAAGCTACTTGTCAGAGACCACAAAAGTAGAACAAAGCAGAAATGAGGACCTTGGTGTTCTTTCTCCTCATGACGAGGGAGACCAAGCAGAGAGACCCTGATTCATCAGTGGAAGCCCGTGGTTATTCCCTGGAGTCGGGGGTGGGGGGAGGGACATACCACCAGTACATCCTTGCCTCTCCAGGGCCCCAAGGAGTCGGCAGCAGGAGACAGATAATAAGCCGCCAATTATTCAAGTTGCAGCATTTTTGCTGAGTCGGGAACAGACACTCCCCAACAAGAAATAAAATTAAACAGGCCCTTCTGTCCAGAAGCTTTAAATACACTGCCTAGCGTGAAGCGTGCTGGGGAGGAAGAGTAGGGTTGGCAGTAGCAAAGCTAAGTGGCAAGGGATTTATGTGCTGGGGGCCCAGGAAAAAATACTAGTAGCATCTCTCTATTAAGCATAGAAAGAATGGTCCAAAATCCATTTCACTTTGGCTTTGAATGGTGCTTTGTATTTACTCCTCCAAAAAAATAGCCATAATCTGTTGATGAAGACACATGACAAACACCTGACTCAGGAAAGCTGTCCCTAATTTTACCTCTTAGCTGTTCCCTCCTCACTGAGGACAGGCCACTTTGCCCTCAGACTGGAAAGCAAAGCTTGAGTCTAGCCCAAGCAGTCTCGCCCTAACACCATGCCAGCTAGCTTTCTGGATGGAATCTGGTGTTTCTCTTCCATTTCCTGCTAGGCTGCCAACTATGTGAAGGAGTAAATAGAGATGATGATGATGATAAGTATATAAAGTAGGTGATAGTATCAAGGAGTTGAAAGCAGATAGGGGACAATGTTGAAGAAAAGAGACTGGATTCTAAATTGGAAAGAACTGGAGTTTTTGAGATACGTTTCATATTCACTCCTGCCCCCAGGAGGTTGATCCTATCACTTCCCACCTTGGACTCCAGAGTAGAGCGAAAAGACACTTACTGCATAGACAGGTCCCTGTCCAGCTTCTGTGGTGAGAGGTGGCCCATGACAGGCTTGGGCTGCAGGCTCGGACTAGGAGGCCCTGGCAGCGGATGCTTGAGGCTCTGCTCTGGCATCTGGATTGAAACCTAAAAAAAGGAGGGAGGAGGCACAGCTGGAAGAGCCAGGGTGTCCTCCCTACCTCTACAAAAGCAGCCCCTAAAATCCTTCCCTCCTCCAACCAAGGGAATGGCAGCTTCTGGAATGGCCCAGGTCCTGGGAGAGGTTTTTGCCTTCCCAGTCACTTCCAAATGCATGAGGGTCTGACAGAATATCAGGATCTGTGCAGGATCTGAAAATCTCCTAATGACTAAGGTGGAAGACATCCAGGTGGAGAGAACTAGGAATGAAGGGACCCCAAGTCAGGGAAAGAGCTCTAAGCCCTCCTGTTGCCCAGGCCTAACACCTTCAAGTCCTACCTCCTCTGCTGGGCGTTTGTCCTTGTCCTTTGAAGGTTGCTCCTGGTCTAAAGAGGTCTCTTCCACAACTCTCTCCACCTGGGCCCTGGGTCCCAGGCTCTTCTCTGGAAGGCATCCGGACCCCACAGGAAGCTCTGGGGTGCAGAGCTGGCTGGGAGGGCAGGGTAGTAAGGGAGAGTTGGGAAGGGTGAGAGGGGGAGTGAGAGTCTGAGAGGCAGGATATGGGGCAGATCTCTGTGGCACCCAGGTGATATACAGTCCCTAGGGACAGATGCTTGGGTGACAAATGGGCAGTAGCTGAAGGTGGGAGAAGGAGACAAGGATTTTCTGGTTTAAGAAACTGTTCCAGACAGTTGGACTCCCAATCTCTGAGTTCACCTTCTCTGGAACAGTTTCTACTACCTTGATGTGCTGGGGTGTCATTGGCTTCTCTGACATAGGGCATGCTAGGTGGCAATTGGGTATTGGATGCTGGATGGGAGCCCATGACCCAAGGTGTTAGAACAGAAGCTGAGGAAAGGGGTGCTGGCTCTCTATCTTGGCCAGGCTGAAAGGTGGGGGCAGGCATGAGCAGTAGAACTCACTGTTGCTGTGGTGGGCCTGACTTGGGGGAACCCAGGAGGTCCTGATGTGGGGTCCGGGCTCCTGCCTCATATTCCTGGAGCTTTTTTCTCAGAGCAGCCACCTAGAACAGTAGTCGTCCAGGTCCTCACAGAGCCAGCTGAACACAGGAGCTGAAGGGCGGGCCTAGAGCCCTGACTGTACCCCAAAGCTCCCATCCCTCATTCTCTGCCACCCCCAGGTGGGCTCCTCACCTCAGCCTGGAGCTGCTGGCAGATGGTGGCATACTGGCTGATGTGACAGTCCAAGCTGATCACATTGCTCTTCAGCTGAGATGGAGCACAGGGGAGAAATGTGTTTGTTCATTCTAAGCCATTTTTGTCAACCTTTTTTTTGAGACAGAGCCTCAAGCTGTCCCCCTGGGTAGAGTGCTGTGGCATCACAGCTCACAGCAACCTCCAACTCCTGGGCTCAAGTGAGTCTCCTG